TTCTTGACTTTTACAAATTTTCTTCTTCATTGAGGTGAAAGTCCTCACGTAAGACACAGTCAAGGGTAGAACAATAGGTAAGACAGACTCTCAGCTTCCTCTCTACTTTTTGGGGCCCTAAAGAAGCGATAATGCATTAGGAGCTCCAAAATGGTTAGGGAAAACAGATTATAGTGACAGAAAATAAAGATCAACTTAACACTGGTTCTACTGAGCTAATTCTTAATTAACTTATGCAAGCAATGTAAATGCTGCAAATAAGACAATGTTAGGTAGTTGCAAAAATTAACTGCATTCTTAGTATAATCTCATCTGAAAGTATTTAATTTCTAACACTGATACTCCAATGCTATTGCAAACTCTGTCTGAATACTTAAGCAAGTAAACAACAAACAAAAGGTCTCATCTTCAGTGCCCCAAGCTATCATCCAAAACTGGTTATAATTAAAGGTGTGAACAACAGAGTAACAAACCTGCAAAGTCAAGGTTCTGAGAAATTAATGGGCATCACACCACTGCACCAGTTCAAATTTATCACTCATTATCTCCCCGACTAGCACAGTGCTGTTTCACATATTTGTGCCTCCTCTTTCCTCCAAGCCTTTCCTGCCTTTTCTAGATGGCTAATTTTAGACAATTACTGCCTCTGACACATTGAGACCTTTTCTCCCTCCTTTCTTCTTCTTGCTGTAAAGCTAGTGACCTACAAAGGCCCCCTGCACCTAAAATATTCCAGTATTTTAGAAAGTAAAGATTGATCATTTGAGGGGAAAAAGCAAGCAAGCAGTCTTTGAGTATCTGTTTCTACCAACATCCTCTCTTTATATTATCTCAAACGGTTAAATGTACTCAAATGCAAAGGGTAAGTCAAGGTACAGGTCCCCATTAAACACTATTTTTATTAGGATTAGATCTATTGTACTTGTTGAACTGAAACATTACCCTCCTCTTCGCAAAATTCTTCAGAAAATGAAAAATGTGCCTTGTCTTTAAAGTTACTTGGAAGTCCTATACTGCTGGTAACTGGACATTTACACAAATACTTGTGAAGTATTACATTACACAAACGCCCTTTCCCTTCTCATACAAATCCCAGTATTTTCCTTAACATCCATTCAAATGAGAAGGGAAGATACACATGCACGAACACACACACAAAAATACACGCATACCCATCTCTTCCTCCATCCTACTCGGAAAGAAAAAGGAAAAAGAGCAAGAGAGGGAGAGGAGTGCAATGGGGGAGGGGTGACTTTCCATCAGATTAGCAAATTTTGCAAAATCTGGCCTATCCTTTACAGAGGTACCATGCTTTTTAACATCGCCTCACTTGCAAACAGACTGTTTGCGCCCACTTCTCCCCAAAAACCCCAATGACATTGAAAAAAATACTGCATTGCAGTATTTGCCAGTGCATCGGACTGTATCAGTCAGCTGTCCCACAGACAAACAAATGTACGTTTTGATGTGTCCAGGCATGTAAATGAGTTGTCTAGTGGACACAGATTGCCAAAACAGACAAGTGGATTTATCAAGTTATCTGCATCTCTCTCCCTCTCGCTATAATATTCTCTGCCACTGCCCATTTCTTGCCTGGGGTGTTTGCTTAAATTATTTTGAAAGTGCAAGTTCCCGAAGAAAACAACAAATTCCCCTGCCAGAATATGGGACACAATCATACTTTATTTCTTTTGAAAAACCTCGGGGTGTGGAGTGGTTCTAGGTTATATACCAACAGTACGACAATTACACACAGAAAATAACCTGCATTTAATTAGTACACTCGCAGCATACCAAGTAGGAAGGCTGAGGAAAAAAATTCACTGTAACCTAGAAGATATTATTTCAAAAAAAATTAATACATTATATATACGTAAGATTAACGCAACTGGATTTTCTTTCAATAGAGTCACAATATTTAACAGGACCAAATAAAGATGATGAAGACTATTCCAAACCCATTCAAACGGGTTTTTTAAGTATACCCCTTCTAGCTCATTGTAACCATCCTTTGTCACAACAGCTCAGGCTCACTCTGAGAGAGCTCAAAAAGGTAAAATTAATAAAGAGGAAGAAAGCAAAGGAGGCAACCAAACCAGTCAACAGTGGAGAGGCATCCCTGTATGGGAACTTGAACTTGATTAGTAGAGTACGCGGGGATAGGATTTTAAAGTGATGGCTGGTATTCACCTTGCATCAATATCCCATTGTAAAATTTCATCCTTTCTGACTGGTAGTTCACCAAGACAACAATTTTTTTACAAAAACTGTCATGTCTAAAGACAACTATATTTTCTCCATCTTTTTGTCTGAACAGAAAGAGGTTTTAACATTTTAATCCTTCTTTATTATCTGTAGCAGTCTGAATTAAATTTCACTAACTTAATAGCTATTTTTCTATATGAGGATCTACAGTGCAATCTTTTATATGCAAAAAGAAAATGTCACTATGTACATGCAGGCTGTATTCATTAATATAATCTTAAAACAAAGAAAAGAGGAAGATCGGGGCAGGAACACGTGCGCCATAAAACAAGGATTACATTATTTTTAAATCTTTGTAGAAACACCAAATTGAACAGAAAATGAAAATGTAACTACTAGCTGATGACTCTTAAAACAAACAATGCAGCTGTGTATAATAAAAGGCACCCTTATTTATTGTCATGACTAAGTTAACAGATTAGAACACAGTATCTCTGTTTTGGACAGAAGAAAAATTATTTTACTCTCACGTACAACTACAATGCATGTCAGAATACATCTCTGCACAAGCACAGACTGTAAAATACAGAATTTTACTTTTTCCCCCCCGCCCTTAAGATTCCCTCCCTCCCCACATTGTAAAGCAGTGCAGTTTTCAGAGGGCCATTCAATTACTTCTTCACAGAAAGGATTGCAGCAGAAGCAATACTTAAAACAAAGCAAATTAAAAGGGGGATTTAATTTCTTTTTATTCGCATTTAAAC